AAAATTGTAGAAACTGATAACATAATCCTTAAGACAGTATATAATCAAGCTTTGTATGGTAGCAACAATGGTCATAAAAACTGGGTTTCAAATGTAAAAAAGCTTTTGAATGATTATGGATTTTCATATGTTTTTGATAATGTTAATATTATTGACAAAAAAAATATTTTTATTTGAATTTAGAAGTCGCGTTATTGATTCTTTTAAACAGGAATGGTATGCTACCTTAGATAATAGTTCTGTATTGTATATGTACAAAAATGTTAAATGTAGTTTTGAGTATGAACTTTATTTGGATATCTTGCCAAGATGTTTTAGATTTTATTTCTGTACATTAAGAATGAGTACTTTGTCTTTCAGAATACAAACTGGCAGATATTCTAGAAATAGAATTGTTAGAGAGGAAAGGTATTGTTTATGTTGTAATGCCTCAGACATTGAAGATGAATTTCATTTTGTTTGTATATGTCGTTGTTATGCAGAGTTAAGAAAAAAATATTTGAAAATTAAATATACCAGAAATCCATCAGTTTATAAATTTTTACAATTATTGAACTCAAATAGTAAATATGAATTAATTCAGTTATCCAAATTTGTTAAAGAAGCACTTGCTTTGAGAAACACACTGTTAAATGTTGAGCGTTAAACATAATTATTGCTCATTCTCCTGTTTGTATGTCTTTACTTTTTTAATTTGTAGTATACATATTTATTATTTCATTTTCTTGTTACTAGATAAATTAAGATTAAGAATTTTGAAAATGTCATACTTGCTATTACCATTATATTGACGTTATGCTTGCAAATATTATTGTATTATAGATGATGTACTATGTACAAATCTTAATAAAGTATCTGTTCTTTTCTGTTCTGTTCTGTTTATAGAATTAGTTTTTCAAAACAAAGTTTTATGGCCGTCGTGTTTCTCGTAAGTAAATCCGAAGAGTTTGTGCAGCTATTAAGACACAATAAATAAAACAACGCAATGTTTAAAAGAATAATTAAACAAGTTTATTTCTCGCATGTATTGCTATAATTTTGTATGTGAGAATACAGTTAATGGAACAAATGCGATAATAAATGAATTTGTATCGTATTTTGCTGAATAACTTGCCTATTCTAACATCTTTTAAAAAATTAGACCACCACTTACATTTACAAAACACAATTATTTTTACACAATATGAAGAAACATTTTTATTTTATTCTCACATGATTTGAGTAACAATCACATTTTAAGCTGATGTCATCAAAAACGAAAATATAGATTGTCAGTGAATAGCCAAAACTGAGACTCCAAAGCGTGATTTATTAACGATATTCCAGAAATAAAAGAAGATTTAAAGAAAGACATGTATATACTTCAATTTGTTTGTGAACGAAAATATCGTATTAAAATTCAATATAGTCGTTAGTTAGCAAAATTTTGGCAAATTTCATGTTTTTATTGTACCTGAAATTTTTATTGACTAGATTATGATTACATGTAATACGTTATATTTCTAGGGTATATATACTAAATATTATAGTATATTTTTCTGTGTTTACGTAGACAAAGGGTATGGTGTTCATCATCTAATTTAATTTTCTCCTTGTAAGAAAACCCGGATTATACTATACATATATAATTTACACAGCGTACTTTACAAGGGTTCTGGAAAAAGCAATTTAAAATGAAAATTGTTCAATCAGTTGCCCGTTTTACACCAAATTGACTACTTGTCACAACCCCCCCACCCAGTAGAGGAATACAGCTGTGGCAATTCATGTATTCTGCCAGAATCACAGGCTGGTTTTACCCAAACAGTCCAACAATTTATTGAATTTACATCACATACTGTCTGGTAGTTGTTCTCTGTGTTCAATTTAGTTCTACTTTCCATTAAAATAGATATTATTATATCATCAATATTGTTAACATTTTGTTTCAGGAAATGTTTCGCCAATACTGCAGCATATACAGATAATGAGGACATTGTGGCACATATTTCCAGGTGTGACAGATTTCAGCAAAATTAAAACGCTTTTTCATGCTGTCCAGAATTCCATTCAGAATAAAATCCAAAAGCACTTGGTAAATATTTAGTCGTTGTCACGCTTAAAATGAATCTACTTTAAGCTATTTTTTCTCTGTACTTTGTATAAATATATGTAGGAGGATCATACGAGGGTATTTGTCGTCAGTTGTCACATACAATTATGTTTTATTAGCATTGTACGTTTTTAAGGTCGTACATGCAGCATATCGGGTCTGTATGCAATATCAAGATAATTAATATAATTAGAGGCAGTGTAATCATCAAAGAAAGTCTCGTGCTTTCTCTGATATTGGTTACCAGTATATTGAAACGTATTTAATTTGTATTGATTAAACATGGACACGCTCTTTCTGTAAAATCGGACGCTTTATTGTTTAAATAAAGATTTTTTAATCATATAAGGTATCTCCTCTTCACACAATGTCTGTTTTAATCGTGTAATAATAAGTGCTAGATTCAAAAACCCAACATATTTTATGAAGACAGTTCCTCTGACAGTGTCGTTACTCTATGGTATTCGTGTGGTATTTATTTCTGCTCTACAATTGTTTTTCAATTAGTTAATAGGAAATCACACTGGTGTTTGGCTTGGTCAATGTCATAAATGTCTTACTGTAATCTCTAAAACGTTTTCAACAAAGGTGAGTCCAACATTAAAGTCTGATGAATGTTTTACTTTACTTATATACTGTCAATTGAGTCATTTGATTAACGTTTCACTAACTTTATATTACGTTTTAAACATAGAATAAAACAGGGAGGGAAATTTGAGTATAAACAAAGTTCAACATGATATAGCTGTCTGGGAAATCATTTTTATTTCAAGTTTTACCAGTATAGCAATAATATAACATCTGCACACAAACATTCATAGCAATTAATACATTAACTGAGAAAAGCTTAACCAGGCTACCACATGTATGTCCACTAATAAAAAATCAACGGCTTACAGTTAACTTAGTCATACAATTCAAATATACAGATTGTGTAATATAATTTTATAATGCCATTATCGTAAGATCAGTTTAATACAAATTGTGAAGATCAGTTAAATACAAATTGTGAAGAGAAAAAAAATCTGCTTCCATAGTCTTATATGTTTATCTGTATCTAATGTTGTTTATAAGTAAATACATTTGTCAAAGTTTTATTTTCCCATGCATCACTCTGTATAATAATTGATATATGATAAATAAATAGAAATATATGCAGGTTTGCCTTATATAAACAATGAATTATGAAAATGCCTCAAAATAAGAATATTGTTGAAGTTGCTACATGTTGACTATACGTTAGACATATTCTGACAACTTAGTGACAAGTATACTTTTACTAGCAATAATTCCATTAATTTTAATATTTTCTTTACTAGTTTCTACTTTTCAAAAAAATACTGTGCCCCTTTTTTATATTTAACCCATTATCTAATCTATAATATATGTTTAGTGATTATATAAACTTATGATGAAATCACAGTGAGAAGTGTTAAACTTTTACTCCTAACATTTACTCTATTGGATTTTTCATATACATATGTATAAATAAATAGTGTTTTTTATATTTCTTTCATATAATATCTACATTGTTACATTTAAGCAGAATTACTTATGGCATTGACAGAAGTCTACAATTAGTTATCATGTAATTATTGCATGGAATTTACAGGTTACGAGGTAAGGTTTCTTGTGCTTATAATAACTGAAATACCTTTGATATTTTAACCTTAATTAGTTTATCAGGTTACCTTATTAACATCTCATGATTTCAGTACACAGGATTTATATGAATACTTAACATGTACTTTTTGTTGATGCCAATTAAGGTTATAATTCCTTGTTTATGAGACATAAATCTGATAACCCTGTATATATATGAACTAAATACCTTATTAATATATAAGCTTATTTATACACAGTTAAAGCCATCCATTTATATACCCAGTTTGATATACATACAGGATATTTACAGTTGAAATATTTCTACACGATACACATGTATATTGCACATTCAATAATTTACAATACACAATGAACTTTGACATAAATTTACTACACAGAACAAGTTGAAATAAAAGCTTCAAGCATAATCCAAAGGAAAGTACAAGTCTGTCCATAAAATTGTAAGACTCTTTAAATAAATTTTATTCTCAATAGTCCCTTGTACAGTTAAGCAAGTCCAGTGCTTACTTCTATGTGAAGTCCCCTATCAATGAATACACTAGAAATGATTAAATAAATAATGTGCTATATAAATAAATACATTTACAAAGTATATTTACTTTATTGTAATCCAAGTATGTAACATTTTTTTCAATTTCATCAAAAATATGAAAAACTGTAGATTGATGATATAAAATTTTCCTTTCAGACTTCTGTATTTTCATTTAAAGTACAATGTAATTCCTATAATGTCTGTGTAATTTACAGAAAAATAATCAAAAAGTACCAAAACATAACTAAAATTAAAATTACATGATAAAATGTAGATAATATGCTAATATAGACATAATATGCTAATATAGACTATGTAAATAAAAGAAATTAAACTTGTTTTATAATTCAATAAGGAATATATAAAAACTTGTCTATATGCTGTCAGTATTAATTTTATTCTCTAAGACAATAACAAGTATTCATTTTATATTTGATAAATATGAACTGTGATGTGTTTTAAATTTACAATTCATTCAATATGAATAGAAATATCAATACAATTTGAATCATAAAATTCGAACTTTTTTTGTATTTCATAATGAACAAAAATTTGCGGACTTTTCTTTCTAGAACAAAAATTTTGATGACTTCTGTAGATAAGGTAAAACTAAGTGAACATAAATGGTGCAGTAAAATGCAAACATGAACTAAACTTTGTAAAACTAATAAAAATAAATCTTAACAAACATTCAAAACAAATTTATAATCAGTAACAGGTAAAATGTTCTGGAAGGAACACAAGTCACACACCAATCCCAACATCTGCCATTTTCAAGGACTAAGTTACCTTGACAACATGTTTATAACCATAGTAACACTTATTCTAATAATTAGGAGCAGTAGAATGATGCTCTATAGTTTGTTCATGTAAGATATTTTAAAACTGAAATTATACACTTCTAATATCCTAGAAGTATCAATAGTTTAATTTTTTAATAAACTATGAGTCACAATATTCGACAAACACAATGTAAATAATAATTATGCTATGTAAACATGTTATGTTAACATGCCAATTTAACCCTCTAATTGGTACTCACACTGTTTGATAACCCTCATATATTCCAATATAATTGTGTCCATTGGTTCATGTCCAACCCAACCCTGTATCGAACCCCCGGTAGAACAAGCAGTGTGAGTCACAATTTATTGATGAGATTATAAACACATACATGAACACAGTAACTGATGAATCTAGTATCACATTGGTCATACCCCACCCACTCCTTTCTACAAGACCTATTCTACCACCAGCCTTTAGTAAGAGTTATGACTTAAAATAACATATGACTTCATAATTTTTGTTATGCAATGTATATGTACTGGTATATGACCTTATCATATAGCCATTTATGATGATGTATAACTTTATCAGTGTATGATATTTCCACGGTGTTCTAAAACAATACAGCTGAAGCTTTAAATAAATATTGACATTTAATTTGGTTTTCCCAGGCTGAACATGATTGAAAAGCATTTGAACACTTGGAGACAACATCTATAGAATAGTTTGCAGTAAATGAAGTCAGGCAGTTTCTAGATGCGATTTCTATTTGTCAGAATCATTTCAATCCAAACTTTGTTTCTTCTAATCAGATCTTTAACAAATCACATGTTAAATCATCTCCATACATAAATTAATTGTCTGCCATACAAAGATGGTGAGACTGATATTGTCCATGGTGTATGATCATTAAAGGGAAGTTACTCCAGTCAATATATTCATTCAGGGGAGGAAACTTCCCACACTATCAGATGACTTCTCTCCCCTTTACTCAGTGATGATTTCTCTTCCTTTTCCTCAGCATCACCTAGAAGAATGTCATCATCTCCATCACCTAAAAATAAATAAAAAAGATAAAAATTTAATTTTAATTTCCCGCCCATTTACACTTAATTTTTAACAAAGTACAATAGTTTCTTTATTTTCATTTAAAAAGCCCAAAAAGAATTTTAAAAAATGATGGGTCTAAAATGGAATGGAAAATTAAAACTGTCTATAAAGAAACCTTTTTTTGAAAATTTTTTAGCTTCTAAAATAAATTTTGGTTTGGGGCTTAAATTTAAAAAAAATAGCCTGAGATGAAAAAAAACAAATAAAAGTTATATAATAAAAAGATAAAACCCCCCAATAATTATATATGTGCATAAAATATGGACAACAAGAGAACCACATGCGGTCTTAACACTCGTCTGCTTAAATTCTAAGTTAAAAAGGGGCATAACTCCAAAATATTGCTTTCAGAATTATGCCCCTTGTCTAACAACTGCACCTTGTTATAACAAACAAGTATTCCAAGTTTCATGTTGGTAACATTTAAAAATTTAATGTTTGAATAATGGGCTACATCAAAGTTTGTGGGCGACGACAACAACACAGTGATCATAATAGCTTGACTTTTTCTTCAAAACAGACAAGCTAATAAATAAAAAGACAAAATGTTTCTCAGTGCGAAATAGAGTATAACCATGTGATTCTACGGTACTAGAATACCCTAGCGCTTCAAAAATTTCCCCAAAATTGTTTTTTTAAAGGGTTTTTTACCCGGGGTTTTTTTTTTTCTTTTTAAAAAAAAACCCCCAACCAAAAATTTAAAAACCTTCTTTTCCATTGGATGACAATACAGACTAAATGACATTTCCCTTCGCAAATGATGAGCTTTTTAACCTAAAGACCTACTTGTATTTATCCCCCAAAAAAGTACTATGATGAAGATTCATAGACAGATAGTAAACATTGTTTTATATTCATTTTGATAAACATTTTCATACAATAGAAGAAATATGTTTTCAAATACATGTATAATTACATATACAGCAGACAGATATTTTCTCTGGAGGACAATCAATATAATAATCTTGCAATCTTGCACTATTTAATAAAAGATGAATCTGGAAGCATGCAATTTATTATTACAGTAATGTTTTTTATGACAATACAATTGCCATAGTAGATTTACCATAGAGGAAAATCAGCTATAAAATGAGAGAGGGAGGTCATCAATGGCTGTGGTAATATGTCTACACTCTGAATAATATGCACTGCAAAACTTAATGTTTTATATACACTGCTGGAATAGTCTTAGAAATCAAGTTAACTTGATAACAGATATTAGATATTAATAATAGTTACATATACCACTGAATTATATTTTTGAACTACAACTACATAAAGGGTAAGAACATTTTTGCAAAACAATAAATAGGAATGGACTTTAAACTCAAATATCCATTACAAGGTCTGGTTATGTAATATTACTGGACAGTTCCAATGGAATTCTGGCCAATGGTTGATGGTATAAAATTTTTGGAAAAACTTAATGAAAAGTTGGGCACTAAATATATAAGATAGGCATAACACATACTTTTTCTTTAACACAGTGCCTTTACCACATCTGTGTAAGGCAGAAAACCATTACAAATTAGGTTGTACAATGCATTTTCTTCTATAACTTTTTTCTTTGGAAAAATCAGTATTTCTTTTTTTTAATTGACACAGTGTGAATTTCTGAATATAATATAACACGCTGTTTCATTTAATGAAAGAAATATTGATTTTTTTTTCTTGAAAAACGTTTTCTGTATGGGTTGCTCATTAAATTGGTTGGGCTCTACACTTTATCCCATTTGAAATAATGAAACATAAAATAGTTATAGAAAGAAATATACTATCTGGACCTTCATTTGTATTGGTTTTCTGCCCCATACGAATCACAAAAATTCACATGGTTATAGGCACAGTGTTAAAATACATTTCTCAAAGATTCCAAAATTGATACCTAAAATCTTTTTTGATGGATAGAAAATCTCAAGGCTTGTGATCAAGATTGTAGAGAAGCAAATGGCAGATGGATGATAATGATATTTTATACTTGTCATTTAAAGACAACATTATGTCATGGAATATTAAGTTTGACCATATTTATTGGAAAAAAAATTGTTTTAACTAAAACTACATATAATTAAAGTTTAAAACAAAAAGTAAAAAAAAGAAAATATGACACCAACATTAATAAACATCAATTACATTAACAATCAGGCAACAAGTAGTCCTACCTTTTACGTTACCTTCAATTAAAACAAATTTCACACTTGACATAGAAAATCATATAAGGCTTTGTTCAATTTTGTTACTATAAAAGGTTGAGCGAAACAAGTAAAATGTTATTTTTATAGCAAGAACCAAAATACCATGATTTTTGTTTCCTTTTGCAAAAAGTGTATGATGAAAGCAAAGTACAGAATGCACATTAATAAGTAGTTCAATGAAAATGTGTATGCAAACATAGGAAGTTATCATAGAAAGTTTGAGAAATGATCATCAAGCTGTTATATTTGCTAGAGCAGTATACCCATTATTTTTCTGGCTTTGGGTAACTGTAGATTGAATACTGAAACAATTTTCAAAGTGAAATTATCTTTCATACATTTGTACAATTTTATTTATATATTTTATTTAGTTATATATCTTATATACATGTATAAGCAAACTAAAAGACACACTCTTTCATTGTTCTTTTTTGCAAAAGATTCAAGCTTTTTATGTTAATGTATAACTGACAAATGCTGATGTTCTACAAGCTTTATATGTCAATAAAACATGCCCTGGATTGTACTCAAATAATGCCCCCATCCCCTTCTTCCCGTATCACCAAGGATTGGATGGGGAACATTTAGTGCAAGAATTTTGTTGAAATTCTCTATTCTAAGTCAATAACTTTAAATTATAAAGTGATAATTATACAGAACATAAACCACACACTGCTAGCTTGCCTGCCAATATAACTTATACAAAATATACAAAATAGCACTGCTTTTTAAATGTGTTCATATCAGAACTTCTTGCAGATTGCAAGCAGTTACTATTCATTATGTTTTAACCATTTTGTGTCCACTTATTTTCTCAAATTAATGAACAAATTTAGCATAAGCATGTACATTATGACAATTTCTATGTTTTCAATGTAATAACAACTGTACCTATTCTAAAGTCAACATAACCCTCTCCGCCAGAAATGACAAGCCGGGAACCATCATCAGATCCTGGTTCACCTGGTTCCCCTGGTTCCTCTGTCTCAGGTTTGTCAACATCTGTTGTCACATTGGTCATTCCTCTCCTCTTTTTTCCTGTAAAATATACACATCATGAAAATCACTTGTCTGTACTATGATATCGAATTCTACCCTATACAAAATAATTTATCACATCATAATGTATGGCTTTCTTCAATAATCTTTGCTTCTTTTTATTTAGATATGAAATGAATGAGCTACTCTTCTTTCAGTAAACATTATTTCTATAAGTACAATGTATAAGAAAATTGACATAGGTTTTAAATGACCAAACAACTTTTTACCAATTCTTGAAATTTAGCGCAATCATTCTACATGAAATGCAGGAAAAATAGGCATTGCTAACCATAATTGTGAATTATCTGCTCTTGATATCAGTAACATTTTCACATTCATTGGCAGATAACTCAAAAACGAGATTGATGACCCACAAATTATCATAGGCTTAAAATTTCTCATATTCTAAGTTTCCTAAATTCTAAGTTTAATTAATTCTTGTATACAGTTTTCATTTTGCCTAAATGTCTAAATTTAGTGTAAAGTATTGCCCACATATAGAAATGAGGGTAAAGTTATTCTAGTCAATGTGAGACCATGATAAAACGGTGCTACATTCCCGCAGGAAAACAGAACAAACTAATGCAGGATAAAAAGTATGGAAGGAAAATGTTAGTACAGGAGTACTTAGTGCTGGAAGGAGGGATCAGAATGGGGGCAGACATAATAAAAGAAAATTAAAAAGCAACTTCATAATTATTAAAAGAATTGAAAAGCAAATAAACATAATAAGGACTAATCTAAAACTTCACTGGCTAAACAAGCATGAAGAAAGAAGGAATAAATTAAATGAATCAATGTTAATTTTGCCATTACAATATTGCAACAAGGGTGCCATAGTCACAAAATACGCCCGTTTACGAAAGCTTTAGATGGAGATGGGGGCATTATGGATAAGTGTTATCTAGCAAGCAAGTTTTTATCCTTGGCACTGTGTTGTTAAATGAACCTTAAAACAAATCAGTAGGGAAGATATGCACAGGATGTGTGACCTTGACCTTGGTCGCAGGGACCTGAATTTTATGCACGGCACTCTGCCTCACAATGATGAACATTTGTGCCAAATTATATTGAAATCCCTCTATGCATGTAGAAGTTTTGCTCCAGACAAGCGTTTTGCTATGAGCTCTAACTGTGACCTTCACCTTTGACCTAGAGACTTGGTTCATGTGCAGGGCACTACGTCTCATGGTGGTGAACAATTCTATAAAGTAACATTAAAATTCCTCCATGCATGTAGAAAATATGCTCCGGACAACATCTGGATATTTCATCATCTTTAGTGACCTTGACCTTGCATATATTAACCTAAATTAAATGTGTCACACCTGTAGTCATAATAGTTACCATTTGTGCTACAATCCATCAATAAATGATGACTAAATGGTCCCTATACACATCTTCAAATTTTATCTGAACTTTGACCTCTATGTGTAACCTTGACTTTGGTCGCAGGGATCTTAATTTTGCGTGCGACACTCAGCCTCACAATGGTGAACATTTGTGCCAAGTTATATTGAAATCCCCCTATGAATGTAGAAGTTTTGCTCCAGACAAGCGTTTTTCAATGAGCTCTAAGTGTGACCTTGACCTTTGACATGGAGACCTGGATCATGCATGGAGCAATACATATCATGGTGGTGAACATTGCCATAAAGTATTATAAAAATTCTTCCATACATGTAGGAGATATGCTCCAGACAAAATCTGGATATTTCACCATCTTTAGTGACCTTGACCTTGCATATATTAACCTAAAGTACATGTGTCATAGCCATAGTCATGATAATGACCATTTGTGTTACAATCCCTCAATAAATGAAGATTAAATCGTCCCTATACACATCTTCATATTTTTATCTAAACTATGACCTCTATGTGTGGCCTTGACCTTGGCTGCAGGGACCTGAATTTTGTGCGCGACACTCCGCCTCACAATGGTGTACATTTGTGCCAAGTTATATTGAAATCCCTCTATGCATGTGGAAGTTTTGCTCCGGACAAGCGTTTTTCAATGAGCTCTAAGTGTGACCTTGACCTTTGACCTAGAGACCTAGTTCATTCGGTGACATGGTTTCTCATAATGGTGAACATTTCTATGAAATTTGATTAAAATCCCTCCATGCGTGTAGGAGATATGCTCCGGACAAAATCTGGATATTTCATCATCTTTAGTGACCTTGACCTTGTATATATTGACCTAAATTATATGTATCACAGCCATAGTCTTGATATTGACCATTTGTGTTACAATCCCTCAATAAATGATGACTAAATGGTCCATATACACATCTTCATATTTTTATCTGAACTTTGACCTCTATGTGTGACCTTGACCTTGGCTGCAAGGACCTGAATCTTGCGCGCGACACTCCGCCTCACAATGGTGAATATTTGTGCCAAGTAATATTGAAATCCCTCTATACATGTAGAAGTTTTGCTCCGGACAAGCATTTTTCAATGAGCTCTAAGTGTGACCTTGACCTTTGACCTAAAGACCTGATTCATGTGCGCGACACTGCTCCTCATAATGGTGAACATTTCTATGAAGTTTCATTAAAATCCCTCCATACATGTAGGAGATATGCTCCGGACAAAATCTGGATATTTCATCATTTAGTGACCTTGACCTTGTATATATTGACCTAAATTATATGTATCACACCCATAGTCTTGATAATGACCATTTGTGTTACAATCCCTCAATAAATGATGACTAAATGGTCCATATACACATCTTCATATTTTTATCTGAACTTTGACCTCTATGTGTGACCTTGACCTTGGCCATAAGGACCTGAATCTTGCGCGCGACACTCTGCCTCACAGTGGTGAACATTTGTCCCAAGTAATATTGAAATCCCTCTATACATGTGGAAGTTTTGCTCCGGACAAGCATTTTTCAATGAACTCTAAGTGCGACCTTGACCTTTGACCTAGAGACCTGGTTCATGTGCGCGACACTGCTCCTCATAGTGGTGAACATTTCTATGAAGTTTCATTAAAATCCCTCAATACATGTAGGAGATATGCTCCGGACAAAATCTGGATATTTCATCATCTTTAGTGACCTTGACCTTGTATATATTGACCTAAATTATATGAATCACAGCCATAGTCTTGATAATAACCATTTATGTTACAATACCTCAATAAATGATGACTAAATGGTCCATATACACATCTTCATATTTTTATCTGAACTTTGACCTCTATGTGTGACCTTGACCTTGGCCACAAGGACCTGAATTTTGCGCGCGACACTCCGCCTTACAATGGTGAACATTTGTGCCAAGTAATATTGAAATCCCTCTATACATGTGGAAGTTTTGCTCCGGACAAGCATTTTTCAATGAGCTCTAAGTGTGACCTTGACCTTTGACCTAGAGACCTGGTACATGTGCGCTACACTGCTCCTCATAGTGGTGAACATTTCTATGAAGTTTCTTTATAATCCCTCCATACATGTAGGAGATATGCTCCGGACAAAATTGGACGCCGCCTGCCCGCCCGCCCGCCAGGGGCGTTCCCATAATACGTCCCGTTTTTCAAACGGGCGTATAAAAAAAATCAAAGACACCGATATGAAATTTTACAGCATTTATTTTAGTTCAATCATCTGGGAAGTAAGTTAAAAAAAAAACAGTTTTACAGAAGTGCCATTATATAATCTATATAACAGACTCAAACAGACATTAGATGCGTCACATCACAGGTGCAGTGCTGCAATGTCATAAAAATAGGCATAAATCTGCCAAAATGAATTTTGGGGGGAAATATTTGCCATTTTAAAAGGACTTTGTGCAAGTAAAAAAATAAATAGTGTTCTTTTTTTGTTCTACTTTCTTTATTTTTGCTTCAAACCATAGTATTTTTCAAGAAAATCCATATTGGGCTGTCCACATTCAATTCATCTTGTATAAACTAATTAACAAAAACCATAAAACCCATATCTGGCAAATCTTAACCATTTCATTTGTTTAATTTCTTTTATAAACAAAATGGAAATCTTGTCAAGTGAACTTTCAACCTAATAAATACTTCTAAATTGTACATGCTAAAACATATTTACTATTATAAGAACGTTTCTTTAGTGTCCCTGTCTTTTAACAAAACTTCTTAGATTGTTTAACATGACATTATGGCAAGTAATTAATAATGAGATAAGTTTTGGTGAAGCATGCATGTGTAGAAAGGTCAAAGCTTTATGTAAATGCTAAGGGAGTGAATGGTGTTTCACGACTCATTACATCTCAATAAGACGTATAATTAAACCAAGTCTACAATTTCCCTGTTGACATTCTATTTTCTTCCAGAGAGTTTTCTTTTTATATCATATTTACTATCAGGTATATTATATCATTCACTCAGGGAATCAGTTATGATGCTTTCATCAAACTATAAGAATAAGGAATTTCTCTCCATTTCCCCCTTCCTCTCTCAATCATTTCCTCTCCCAAGTCATCCTATAACTCAATCACAATGTTTTTATTTCCCCCCTCTCTCTCTCAATATAGAAAGAATGCAGTGTGAGCAGCATCTGCAAGCAGTAAGCACTTTAAGTCTGTACAATACCTGTGAGAATTGATGCCTGTCTTTCACATGGCTTCACTAAATAAAGTGAAACAAAATATTGCTATAAACAATGCAAATTGCTTTGAAAGTGCAGGGTTCTCTCCATGCAAGCCAAGCATGCTATTGTTACATTATTTTCATGCCAAGTATCAGTTTAATAATTTTTGAGATTTAAGATTTTTAAAATTTATTCCAGGTTAAGCATTATTTAATATACCAGTAGCTGAACATTTTATAAAAAGCTTTACTTTTCATATTGTTTATACAAGTATCATAGGAACTGTAATGTGTCAACTGAGATTTTTAAAAATTCATTCCAGGTTGAGCTTTATTTAAATATAGCTCAAAGCTCTACTGTTCATATTGTTTATACAAGTATTATAGAAACTGTAATGTGTCAGTTATCAACTGAGAATTAATCTTCACAAAGTCTACTGAACCATTTAATATTAGCTATCTCAATAATGGTAATATTAGCACAACCAATCACGTCAAATCATGCTGATAGTTTCTCATGATCTAGAGAAAATCACAAATTGATTAAGGAAATATTGCTGTCAACTGGTATAATTATTTTTTTTCTGTTTATCCTCGAGGACATTCGTCACATTTTAATCAACTGAAAACAATCCTTCAGTTTTACATTTGTCTAACAATAAAAAAGTCTAACAATTTTAAAACATCAACCTTATAACAAAAATTACAGTCAAAGTGCTAATGTACTTTTTTCTTATTTAGCAGAATTTTTATAATACAAAAAGTGCAATTTTCCTAATGAAGGTAAAAACAAGTGAAAGATTCCTGGTTGTCCGAAATCAGATATACCTGAGATATTATAAACTATCTACACAACCCAAACCATCAATAAATATTTTCACAGAGAGAGAAATAAACAAGAGGGCCATGATGGCCCTGAGGTCGCTCACCTGTATATAGCCCCCCCCCCCCCCCCCAACGTTGCAGGGCCAATTTAACCCAAGGGCTTTTATTTGCACAAACTTGGTAGACACCCATAAGAAGATGTTTCATGCTAAACATCTAAGCTCTAGCTCATTGGGCTTTTTAAAAGAAGATTTTTTTAAAGTTTTTACTATACACATATAGTTAAAAACAATGACACCCCTGGGGCCGGGCCAGTTTTGACCCCAGGGCTTTTATTTGAACAAACTTTGTAGACACTTGCTTAATATCTAAACTCTAGCTATTTGGGTTTTTTCAAAGAAGATTTTAAGTTTTTGCTATACACATATAAAGAAAATCAATGACCCCTGGGGCGGGGCCAATTTTGACCCCATGTCTTTTATTTGAACAAACTTTGTAGACACTCACTAAAAGATGTTTCATGCTTAATATCTTAACTGTACCTATTTGGGTTTTTTCAAAGAAGATTTTTTAAGTATTTGCTATACACATATAAGGAAAATCAATGACCACCGGGGCGGTGCCAATTTTGACCCCAGGGCTTTTATTTGAACAAACTTGGTAGACACCTATTAGAACATGTTTCATGCTAAATATCTTAGCCATAGCTCTTTGAGTTCTTTAAAAGAAGATTTTTTAAGTTTTTACTATATGCATATAGGGAAAATCAATGACCCCCCGGGGCGGGGCCAATTTTGACCCCAGGGCCTTTATTTGAACAAACTTGATAGACACTTATTAGAACATGTTTCATGCTAAATATCTTTGCTCTAACTCTTTTGGTTCTTTATAAGAAGATTTTTTAAGTTTTTACTATATTCATATAGGGAAAATCAATGACCCCCTGGGGCGGGGCCAATTTTGACCCCAGGGCTTTTATTTGAACAAACTTGGTAGACACCTATTAGAACATGTTTGATGCTCAATATCTTAGCCATAGCTCTTTGAGTTCTTTAAAAGAAGATTTTTTAAGTTTTTACTATATGCATATAGGGAAAATCAATGACCCTCCGGGGCAGGGCCAATTTTGACCCCAGGGCTTTTATTTGAACAAACTTGGTAGACACCCATTAGAACATGTTTCATGCTAAATATCTTAGCTCTAGCTATTTGGGTTCTTTAAAAGAAGATTTTTAAGTTTTTACTATATGCATATAGGGAAAATCAATGACCCCTGGGGCGGGGCCAATTTTGACCCCAGGGCTTTTATTTGAACAAACTTGGTAGACACTCACTAGAAGATGTTTCATGCCAAATATCTAAGCTCTAGCTCTTATGGTTTTTAAAAGAAGATATTTAAAGTTTTTTCTTTCGGTTGCCATGGCAACCAGAGTTCTGCATGGAATTAAATTCTTTGAACAATTCTTAAAGGTGACCACCAAAGGAACATTCCTGTGAAGTTTGGATGAAATTGGCTTAGTGGTTTATGAGGAGATGTCATTTAAAGTAAAAGTTTACGGACGGACGACGGACGGACGCCGGACGAAAAGCGATCACAAAAGCTCACCCTGTCACTTTGTGACAGGTGAGCTAATAAAAAAAAAAGAAACAGCAAATTAAAAAGCAAGACTAGTGTGTATACATAAAATTAAAGAAATCATTTCAAAACCTTAGCACAAAAACTGAAAACTCAAAAAATTCTCAACCACAGCAACCAGGGAAATAACTCAATAAAAATGATAAATATAAACTTTATTCAATCCTGCTTACATTAACAAACTCATTATGATAGGTGACAGTACAATATGACATGAAATCAATCAGACCTCAAAAATATATAATCAATTTCAATCAGCCAAACTGAACCTCAGGCCTAATCAAAATAATTGCTTCAATAATGTATATAATACTGGCACAGTCCTAGCGGAAAGAGTGGCTAAATTAATCTAACAACCTAAAGCTGTAATTGCTCGAGTAACTCATGAATAAATAATCTTGTTACCATCAATATATATCCTTACTGGAAATTTCCCGCCATGCAGAATGTCTTTACCTCACATCAGAGGGAAATTAAAGAACCAATCACAATAATTTACATATATATGTGTGGGAATTTCCAGTCATTTTCTTTCTAACAATACATAAATATGTGACTTTGGTCCTCAGTCTGGAAACAGTTTTCAATTCTAGGTTTAAATTGTAAAAACATTAATGTTATAATGACATAAGGAATTATTGTAGCTTAAAGAATTTTGTTTCATCTAGACTATACAATGCATAGAGAACAAATTATTGCTGGAATTGCACCTACATTAATTCCCTATTTTATTATCCAAGAACACAAAATAGTGTGATACATGTCATATCAAAATTGTCATTATCTACCAACGCTTAATGTCAGTGAACATATTGATTTTAAAATTACAATGATTTCTTCCTTCCATTATATTTTGATGTGAATGTTTAGGCATGCTTCAAAGTAAGTAATTATTTTAAAAAACAACCACAACAACATTTCTTTAGTGTTTATTATAAAATTAATTCTATATTTTGAAAACATAAAATTTCTTTATCGTCAAATTAATCAATGTGTTATCCTGATAAATTCATGGGTTGTAAAGCAAAGAGTCTTAGATTATTAAATCTAACATACCTGTATTTAACACAACAGGTAATAAATTCTATTTGGTGTTCTGGGTCAATATGCATGGTGTTACAGTGGCAAAATTTCCTGAGAGTATAGTCTTGAAATCTATCAGGTTATTTTAGGAACTGTGTTCACAATAAAACATCATACATGTAGTATTGTTTGAAGAAAATGTGCATCACTTATTCCTTTCAACTTAAGATATCAACGCTTATACCATATCTAATAAATTACTATTTAATTATAAAAGAATCAATTATTTCCACAGAAAAGTAACAGTGAAAAATTAAAATGATTTACATATCAAATTTGTTTGATGTTTAATTGAAAATGATCCTTGAGGAATTAATTGATGTACTTATATGTATCCTATCTAATTAAGTAATTAAAGAAAAGAAGTAATAGTTTACAGTGTTATATTTCAATCATAACTTTATCTAATAACTGTAAGATAAACATGTATTTTTACCAATCAAACATTGTAGCCATAGAAAGTAGCTATTTATCTTTTAACGATAACATTTATATTTTAGAAAAAACTGAATCCAAAAACCCCCAACTAGTTTTTAAAACAGAAAACCCAAAGTTTTTACAATTTTTTTTTTCTTTTTTTTTATGAATTTAAAAAAAAAAAAAAATTTTAAAAATTCCCATCAAAAGTTTGGGAAAATTTGGGAAAAACTTTAAATTTTAAAAAAAAAGAAAAAAAAAATTTCCAAAAAAAACCTTTTTTTAAATAAAATCCTTTTAAAAAAATTTTTGGGGTTATTTTGGATGCAATTGAAGAAATTTCAATGAAATCTTTTTTAATATAACGAAAAAAACCCTTTTAAAGTTTCCCAAAGTAACTTTTGTTTAAAAAATTAACTCAATCTAATGGAAAAAATTTTCCCCCCAAAAAAAACCAAAAACCCCCCAAATGCGGGAAACCTCAAGTTTTCCCCTTTTTTCCCCCAATTCAAATTTAAACAGGATGGCTCCAAAATTGAAAACTTGGTTAAGAAGCATTTTACAAGCTAGGAGTTTTGCTAGGAGTGTTAACATTAAGATCATGCCTCACTTACACCATTCAACATTATGTCACCATAGTCACCCACTCTGGTCAACAATATAACAATTTGAAATTTTAACTTCCCAACCTAAATACTCAACATAAAGAACTAAACCAGAGTGCTAACAAGAGAAATTAAACAACATATAAACAACTGACTATAATCTATATGTGTACTAACCTGGCACAGCAACAAAGAATTTCACAGCATCCCTGTGACCATGGAAAGATAGCTGGGCCTGGGCCATTGTACAGTAAGGTATAAAACTTGCAGGCATCACATCATCTGTCTTAGTGTCAGTATACACCCTCACTAGACCGCCAGGACGACCTCCTGATGACCCCATAGATACCGTCTGCTTGTTGTCTGTAATAACATTATACCTTTAATAATTTCCCTTTGTAAAAAATTTATATAATGCTGGATTTTTTTTTTTTAAAAAAACCCATTCACTGTGTTTCTTGTAAAATTTCCCCTGCTTGAAAAAAAAGTTTTGACTAATAACTAATAAAGTACTGCTTTCATGATCAGGAAAATTACTTGCAAAATTAAAAATTTAAAAAATTTTAGACTTTAAAAAAATTTTTTTTCTATCTCCCAGAAAAAGCCCCGAAAACACAGGGTACATGAGTGAAATGTTCTTACATACTGGAAAAATACCAATTTTCCTTTTTAAACTATTAAAAATGTTTTGGTAATGTCTAGGTTTGTTTTTTTTGAAATTTTTAAACAGGGTGGGGTTTTTATTTAAAATTTAAACCCCAAAACTTTTGCAATAAAAAAATTCATAAATTTTTTTTGAGATTTCCCCAAAATAACATCACAAAAAAAAACGAGGTCTGAGACAAATACTGATATAATCAATGCCACATACAGTAGATGAAGGCCATTAATGTAACATGTGGTGAAGCTATTATACAGAAGTATTTTTTATTTAAATCACACTGTAATCACAGTGTTCTGTATTTCAGGAGTGTGCTATATATTGTGTTTTTTTCCAGAGTTTAATGGAATTCTGAAATTTCCTCCTAGTTTAAATCTACCAAAACAGAAATTAAAATTGAAATTTAAGACTAGAAGTAATAGAATTGATAATAAATCTCAGTACTTCCCAGGCTATAGAGACATCATCTAAACCATTCCTATATTGTCATTAAATGTCTGTAAGCAGATAAAATATTCCAGGAAAAAAATATCAGCTTAACATGTTAACAGTCTTTGTTTGAAAAGTTTCATAAATAGATTTCCACCTACGCTGATTTTTTTTACATCAAGAGTTTTAGAGTCAATAAAAGCTTTTGATAGCTGTAGACAATAAATACCAATTATATCATGTAAGAGAAATTTTGCAATGATTTTTCTCCTATATTTCATACAACATGTTCTGATGAAAGCATTTTTCTTTTCTTTAAAATTAGTTTACAGTTTACAGATTTATTTTTTCTTTTGCTATAAAGCATAGTTAAGTCTCTGTTCTTTGTAAAGTATTTACATAAAATCATGACAAAGATCTGTATAAAATTATGGGGTATGGTAGGATTCCTGTTGTAGTGCATGCTTTCTTAAAATATTAACTAAAAAAAAGTGTAGAGACTTGGACGCAAATGATAACAGATTATAATCATTTTTTATGACAATAGTAAGAGATCTGACAAAAGGTACTACTTTCTGACAAAGGTACAGGATTATATACACCATTTCCTGTTCCAATCCATAATCTATTACACGGAGATCGAACTGGAGGTGATTTCTTACACAAATGAAAATCCTAAAATTTACCGGTTCCTGAAACAATTAAAACATGAACAAAGGTAAACATATGTTTCAAACAACAAGCATAATGCCTTCGAAACAACTTCAACAATATTCTAACTGTTTAATATAAGCCTTAATTGTAATTTCATGAAAATTATTCAGTCAAATAATTTTAAACATGATAATTTTTACATAATGAATTAAGATAGTCTATTCCATTACATAATTAAAGTGTACTTCAGTTTTTAACTGATGAAATAATTATTATCATTTCTTTTAACTCAAATTATCACGACATTTTTGATTTAAAATTCATTAAAATCAAACACTTCAAATAAAATTTTTTAAAATAAAAAAATTTTGTATTAAAAAAATGACATACTTAGCATTTTTAACTAACATTATGGTTCTATATCAACATCTTGTAAAAAGTTTTGGTGCGTGTAGGCCGTGGTAAAGACGTAAAGTACTGTCAAGGGCGTTATTGGAATAGCCAACACCATCACCGGGACCACGCTTAGCTGTCGTACCTTGACTGCTCTTTTACGAGGATGTGCATAAAACTTTTTCTGTAATATAGGTTGGGTTAGATTTATTTTTAATCCCTAAATTTTAAAATTTGCATTTTATCAATATTAACATATTAAATGATAAGGTTAATATGTTATAATATCAAAATAATGACAAATTTAAAAAAATTAAACGCAACTCAGAATGTTAAGAAAAAATTAAAATCAAAATTTTAAAGGGGCCCCGGCCCGTCAGAATATCTTTTTGAAAAATTAACAGAACCATTAAAAAAGCTGTTTTAAATTTTAAATTTTTTTGGCCCAACCCCCCGCTGTCAGTAACTTTATTCTACCCTAACCAGTCAAACCCAAAACCCCCTTTTGCCCTTTTGAAAAATGGGCTGACTGTTTCCCTTTAAATTCCCCTTTAGTTCCTTTTAAGGTTTTGGAGATTTTAAAAAAGGGGCCCAATAAAAATTTGGGAAAAAAAGTTAATTTTTTGTTTCCCCAAATTGAAAGATGAAAAAAAAGGGAATTTTAAAAATTTTTTTAAACCCCTTTGGGGGGCCAACTTTTTTTTTTTTTTAATTAAAAAAATTTTGATTTAAAATTTAAAAAATTTTTTTAAATTTTGGTTTAAAAAATTTTTGGTTTTTGGTTAAAAAAATTAAGGAACTACAAATGTGACTCACTGTAATTGTCATGGGCTGAGGGGCAACAAAAATGAACTTTGTTTCCCATATCCCCCACCAGACCCCTTTTTTTAGCAAACACGACATAACCGTATGGAATGGTTTCGGTTTTTCCCAGATCTAGTAGATGGTTAATTTTGTAGGGCCCATTGCCAAACTGTAAAAAATTTTACAAATATATTAAAATCTTATTTTGATATTTAAATTTTAAAGGGGGTGGGTATTTTTTGTCTATACGGGGGCCAGTGTTTAAAATCTTTTTAATTTTTTAATTTTTTTTTTAAATTAAAAATTTTCTCTACATAAAACAATTTCCCGCATTCCTAAGTACATTTGTTTAAAAATTCCAAAAATCAAAATTTTCAACAACAGTTTGAAAAAAAAACAAGTTTTTTTATTAAAAATTTCTTTTAATTTTACAATTTTCAACATTCCTACAGTTAATAAGTTTTTTATCAAAATTTCAACATTCCTAGAGCCAAATTTTAATTTTTCAATCAATTTTCAACATTCCTAATAAATGATTTTAATTTTCAAATTTCCAAAAATAAATTTTTTCCTTTCCCCCTTTTTTATCATTAATACAATTTATTTCTAAAAAAGTTGTAATTAAAGACCTTTATTTTCAACATTTTCTTAGTTAAATTTTGTCTATCATATGACATTATTCTAAAATTTATAGAAAACATTAGCTATTTATAGCTACATATCAAAGGCATTGAACAGGGAGAACTTAGTCACACTAAATATAGTGTACCTTTACATATATAGAGGGTATCGAAATTTCATGTAACAGTTTTATTTAAATCACATCATTCATTTCTTATTCTGAACATTTTCTAACAGTGATACAAAAGTTTGAAGGTAAATTGTAGTGGACATCTTGGTAAGGAAAACAAGAATCGTCAAACCTCAATTGTGAATATTTCTTGTCACTTTAGATAAATGTCTTCCGAATATTGTCCAGTTAAAGTTTGTCTAGGGCAGAACAAAACAAATCAAATAAGCCAAAGAGTCAGTATGCAAATAAAGACAAGGTTTAATAATAGAAAATTTGTCCACACCATCAGATATATAAATCAAATTGGGATATTTGAACTCCTTGTGGAATATAAACAAAACCTACATTAGACACAGGACATTTTTGGTCTGGCCATGGTACTCCTAGCGACTTTTAATATATACTCATTGAAATCAAGCTTCGAAAGTTTTATGTGGTTAGTGACATTATTTCATTTTCCTTCTATATTTCAAGGGAAGCATTATTTTACGTTTTCTTGTTTCTGGTCATTATAAAAAGGAAAAAGGGTTTTTACTAAACCCTTTTGTAAATTTTCTCAATATTGCAGTTTTTTAAACCCGTTTTTTGTAAAAGAAAATGTTTTGTTAAAAAAAAAAATCAGGAACAACAATGGGGGGTGGAGCATTTAAAATGTGTTCAAAAATTTTAAATAATTTTTGGGGATAGAATTTTTAATTTTTTAATCTGCCCCGGTTTCTAAATGAAAAAAAATAAAAATTTTCAGCTTACTTTTTAAAATGTTTTGTCGTTCCCTTTTTGGGAACTGGGAATTTGACCTGTTTTTATTCCTTTAAAATTTTAAACTTCCTACAAATTTAGAGTTAAAATTGAAACTTTTAAAAAAAAAAATTTGAACCAATTTTTAATTTTTAAAAATAACTATTTTTAGAAAAATACATTTTTCCCACATTAAGCTTTAACAGGGAAAGGGTTATCACTTTTTTCATATATAGAGGGTATCCCAAAAACCATAAAAACAAAATTTTTTTTTAAATTAAAATTTTTAAAAACAGTTTAAAAAAATGATTTCCTTTTATCTTAAAGGAATATTGCAACGTCCCAAACGGGCCCAAAGGGAACCAAAAAACCGACCTTTCACATGTCTGAAAATTTTTTAAAAAAATTTTAAAACTAATTTTAAAATTTTTTTAATTTTAAAATTTTTTTTAAAAGTCCTTTTTAAAAAAAAAATTCCTAACCATTCCCTTTACATTAAACTCAAGTGAACTGAAAATACTGCACATCTTAAGTCAAAACCCTCTAAGTTCATTAAAATTGAAACTTTTCAAGAAAATACCTATAAAAGATAAATATTATTATATAATACAATTATAATTAACTATCTACTTAAAATTACATGAATAATGGCAAAACATACATCTTTATACCTTCTTGGACAAAGCATGGATTTCACTTAAATTTTAACAAATTAAAAAACTAAAATTGTCATTGATATAAGGGAGAAAACTCTTTTATCTATGTATACATATTACATCCCACTCAGTTCACACTTTGTCCAATTATCTATGTTGGATATATTTAAACTAAAATACTTACACAATGTTTAGAATAGAATCTCTAAGTTTTACTTACACAATATTTAGAATAGAATCTCTAAGTTTAACTTACACAATGTTTAGAATAGAATCTCTAAGTTTTACTTACACAATATTTAGAATAGAATCTCTAAGTTTAACTTACACAATGTTTAGAATAGAATCTCTAAGTTTTACTTACATAATATTTAGAATAGAATCTCTAAGTTTTACTTACACAATGTTTAGAATAGAATCTCTAAGTTTAACTTACATAATATTTAGAATAGAATCTCTAAGTTTTACTTACACAATGTTTAGAATAGAATCTCTAAGTTTAACTTACATAATATTTAGAATAGAATCTCTAAGTTTTACTTACACAATATTTAGAATAGAATCTCTAAGTTTTACTTACACAATATTTAGAATAGAATCTCTAAGTTTTACTTACACAATGTTAAGAATAGAATCTCTAAGTTTTACAGAATGTAAACATCTCCTCCACTGGGACACCGAGGAATGAACATACAAACTGAAAATGACAACACCATAGTTTTAACTTATTGATTTAAGTACCAGTAAAGCTTTTCAAATTCTATTCACAGTTAAAAAAAAAACAAGCAAGAGCTGTGTGTGTCTGAGCATTGTATGCACCAAGTCTGTGATGTCATATGTGATGTACAATGTTAAATTGCAATAGGTTTCAACTAAAAAATAAAACAAAACTACCAGACATTAAGTGTCACTGTCATGTTGATCTTTTCATAATATATGTAAATAAAGGTCATCAACTCACAATGGGTAATATCAGTACCAGGTTTCACAAGCCCAGGCTTATTTCTTCTCAAGTTATTGATTGGATAATGATTTTACACCAAGTGTCACTGTGACCTTACCCTTCAATCTTACGACCTCAATTGGGGTCATCTACTAGCCATGATCAATATTGCCACAAAGTTTCATAAACAAGGCTTATTCTTACTCAGGAACTTGAGTGGACAAGGATTTACACTTGTCTCAAGTTATTGAGTGGGCAAAGATACTGCATTAAGTGCCATTGTGACCATGACCTTTGACCTACATTCCTCAAAAACAATAGGGATCATAAAATAATCAAGGGAATTGTCTGTACCAATTTTTACAAACCTAGACTTATTTCTTCTAAAGTTTTTGAAAATAAGGAATTTACACTGTGACCCTGACCTTTGACCTTAAAAATAAGTATGAAGAAAACAAACCATAGAGTTATCAAATAATCAAATGGATATTGATTTGACTAATGGATAGAATGATGTGACTAATGGACAGACAGACAGACAGACAGAGGGACAAGTATCATACTAAAGTATGACCAAAGGTTCTAAATTTGTGAAATGAACATGCCCTGTTTTAAACTGGAACAGTTTACTGCTAATTCAAAGGGTTTTATTATCAATTACAACAACAAGAGCTGTCAGTAGGACAGCAACGCTCGACTATTCTTAGTGCTTGATAGTAAAAAAAATGCTTGATACAGCTTACCTCCTCCTGTTTACAGGTTGGGTCATGATGCTGTGAACAAGTGTGGCAAAGTTTCAAAGCCATATGTCAATGGACTTTGAAAATATTTGAACTATTACAAAAAAACTTTAACATAAATTCTAAGTCGAAAAAACGGCATAATTCTGTCAAAATGCTTGATAGAGTTACCTCCTCCTGTTTACAGGTTGGGGTCATGATGTTGAACAAGTGTGCAAAGTTTCAAAGCCATATGTCAATGGACTTTGAAAATATTTGAACTATTACAAAAACTTTAACGTAAATTCTAAGTCGAAAAAGGGGCATAATTCTGTCAAAATGCTTGATAGAGTTACCTCCTCCTGTTTACAGGTTGGGTCATGATGTTGAACAAGTGTGCAAAGTTTCAAAGCCATATGTCTATGGACTTTGAAAATATTTGAACTATTACAAAAAACTTTAACGTAAATTCTAAGTCGAAAAAGGGGCATAATTCTGTCAAAATGGGCTTGATACAGTTACCTTCTCCTGTCTACAGGTTGGGGTCATGATGGTGAACAAGTGTGCAAAGTTTCAAAGCCATATGTCAATGGACTTTGAAAATATTTGAACTATTACAAAAAACTTTAACATAAGTGTTACGCCGACGCCGACGCCGACGCGGACGCGGACGCCGCCGACACTCGGGTGACTGCAATAGCTCTACTTATTTCTTATTCGGAATAGTCGAGCTAAAAATGCCAGCCCTTACAATATCATGGGCCTATATTTTAGACAAAAAAAATTGTTTGCAAAACTGGCCCCGTCCTGGTGGTAAAGACTAGTCTATCTTGTGTCTAGCGCCTGTCACAGTTAATATATTGAGATAATGTTGGGAGGAACAAACCTGCCACTCTCTTGCTTCCTAGCCACATTGTTGGTAACACCACTACTTGTCTTTCAACCTTTCCTCTGCCTGGATGTTACTTCCAGACGCCAGAGGCATTGATTCCATCCTTAACCATCTCTCTGAAGGCCTCGCGCAAAAAACTCGCCGGCTCATGATTACCACTGCTCGTGTCAGGGGTGCTGTACAGAAGAGACCGGAGATCCCTTGGCCTTAAACACTGTAGGCTGTAGTGTTTCTCCTATAAAATTGAGAAGTAAAATAATGAAATAATTTTAAATGAATTGATCTTGTTCCCAGTAAGAATTCCAATATAAAGGTACAATGATTTGAAGTTAAACAAAAAACAGTATTAATTAATGTGAAATCATATCATAAGAAGTGAGGATCAGGAATGCTGGACAATATTAAAAAACACAAACTAATTCAAAATGTTCAAAAAGTAAGTGTTTCAACATGCAGTGATGGATCACCTTTATAATTAAAAATGTGAAATATTTTCACTTGGAGGATTAGGTACAAGACAGTGCTTACTGCATATAATAATCATGGTGATACAATTGATCAGTTTTTATAGTAAAATCAGACACAATATTATTCAGGCCCATGACAATCTTATATTGCTAACTTGTAGACTCAAGAGAAACTACATGTACAAATAAAGTCAAAATTATATAGTCTAGTAACAAATTTTCAATATTTGTTTCAAAGATTCCTTTGTTAATCGCAAAATGTATTTAAACATGCGCATTTTTCATAGACAATGTGTATTTTCCTAACCCGTTAGGCATCTCAGATCTAAGGACTTTAGTCAGCTTTACTTACATATAAATCAAATACTTATACAAATTCATGGTCATTTTAGAGATAATCTTCAAGTACAAAAAGTTATAACCTTGGTCATGTGCTTAAACCAACTTATATCATCATCTAATCTATGAAAATTGCACATCATATCCATTATAACCCTTACACATGAAAATACATGTCATTTGTGGGTAAAAAAATATATGAAAATAAAAAAGAATTTTCATATTACATGTATATACTAATATAAAAGAAGATAAAATTGTGAACTTCTTGTTAATTTATGGCAGGGGTTGATGGGGAAGCATGGTGAAAAGCGAGAAAATAAAACAAAAATTAAAGAGTAAACTGTTTTTAAGCAGAAAAAGAATAAATTCCTCCCAGCAATTTCAATGAATCTCTTAATGACTACATACTAAATATTCATATTAACTAATTATTTACCAAAGGCTATTCTATCAAGAGTTCCAGTATGGAAATGACTAGCCTCACCACTGTGCGGCAATGATCCGCCTTCTGTAATACACATGGGTAATCACACAACACCAGAATATAAATCACACAAAACAAACATAAATATCAGCGGCATATATTCATCAACATTATAAGTCTCAATGCAAGACTTTAGCAATGTCATATATTTTCTTTTCCCATTGTTTTTTAAAAAATATTTTAACAAAATTTTGGAAAAGCTTTCTTGGGAAGTGAAAATATTTTAGATTTTTACCCCCAATTTTTTCCAGTCAGGTGTGGGGAAAATTCAAGGGTTTGTGAATAAAACCCTTTAAAAAGGATATGCCCCAAACTTCTAAAACTCCCCCAAAAGTGAAAATTTACTTGGCCCAAAACAAAAAAAATGGTTTTGAAAAACTAAAAATTTTTAAATTGAAAAATTTAACCCAATACAAAATTCCACATATTTAGAAAAAAAAACTCTCATAGTCAGAAAAATTTGTAAAAAAACCCGTAATTTTTTTTAATCATATTTACATGTTTGTATATATTATACTTAATTTTTTAATATGTTTTTACCTTTCTTTTTTAAAAATTAAAAGAAAAAAAAATTTGCCTTTTGTTGGGAATGGGTTTTTATGTCTATATTTCAGACTTTTTATGTTGATGAATACATGACCAGGTCAACAAGTGCATAGTGACATAACATTCATGTTTATAATTACATAAACATAACAGCTTAATTAGTGAAGCATATACTTATTATAAATCAATTCCTTACCAATTAAAAGCTCTTCTTCAATTACATTTTTCTCTAGAAAAATAATAGCAAAACAAAAGCTTAAGCAAAATCTTATTACATATCTAACAAATAAATTAACCCAGCATTAATTCGTTTCCTTCTTTCTTTAGTTGTAAATGAATATGATAATTAACACTAAAATATTAAGATATATATATATATCCCTCCCTGTTGTGGAAAATGCCACTCTATGCAATTGTTATTTGAACAGTGTAATATCATTGAAGGAACAAGGGTGGTAAGACTGAGAAAACAGTAGGTTGATATTCAAGTAATCATCTTAGAAATGGAATAAAGAGGTGAGACAGAAGAGAAAGACAGTTTTAATTGTTCTATGATCTAGGGAAGCATAATACACCATGCCTAAAATTATAGTGTTTTCCTTATAATATTTTAAGGTGTTTACAATAAGGTTCACATTTTCTTACATGTTTGGAAAAAGGTAGTTATGATCAAAGCAAATGTTCATCAATATTTTAGTAGATATTGTGAGCATTACTTTTTAAAATTCAGGTCAAAATTCATCCAAACTCTAGTGTGCATTTTGGTCAAATAAGTTACATCTACAGACAAATAGTAAAGGAATCAGTTGATTTGGTCTATCCAATTTTTTTTTAATTGTCAGACAATTTCCTTGTTATTATTAGAATATATTAAAAAAAACTTTCATAACTAGTTACTAATTACAGAACTCACATTTTTGCACTTGTCATAGCTAACAGAACTAAAAAATATTTTCTGTCGCATGTTTGTTGTTTGTGATAAACATGTTTTTCTATACATTGTAACTATACAAAATATAACATACAATAAACCTTGAGCTATTTTTACAAAGTATGTATACTCCAGGGCTTACAAAGTTTGATAGAAAACATTTCAAGTTCCAAAATAGAAGATATTACATGCTAACATTTCCTCCATGGAGGGTATATTTTAAATCACAGACACTCTCATATTCCATCATTAATCTTATTATAGCAAGCAAGTTAAGAAACAATCATCTATGAAATCCTGCCTTCACTTAATTACAAAGTCGCTTAGAGAGTTTAGAAAATGAAATGCCCTTTAAAAACCAAGGAAAAAAGAATGCTATATGGAAGGGTTTGGAAAAATGATACAAAGCATGTTAATTTTCAGTTTTTCCCGATTTAAATTCAAAACAAATTTTTTATGGGTTAAAATAATATTCTTCCCTTTGGGAAAACATTTTTATGTTTTTCAAATTCCCTGGGTTGATTTCGAAGAACAATTTTTCTGATCTTTTAATACAATCAAGAGGACCTTAACAATAAATCTCTCTAATGTTCTAGATTGAAGACATGCAGGTCAGCATTTGAACTATTGGCAGTATCAAGCAGTTACTGTTACTGAAAAAGGACAATTTTAGATTAGAAGGGCTCATTCCATGAATGCCATGCTTATCACCTTTCTCTACCGAACCATCGGAACATCTAGATGACCTTTTACCAAACAAAGACTCGAGGGAGGCCCTCTTGTTTGAGGGTATGTAAGAATCTACAGAAGCCCTCTTGTCATTCAAACTACTGGAACTCCTACTTTTTCCACCACCTGAATTTATATGTACTCCTGATTGGCCATACATTAAAACTTTATATATACATTTATAGCTGATACAAAAAACAAATGCACAGTGTATCAATGATGTGTTTGCCAATACGAGTTTGTGTCATCAAGAACTAGATTGTTTTGCATATAATTACCACTGTATAACACAGCTTCATTGTTGTGTATGTGGTTACTTTAGTAACTAAAACAAGTTTTTATCATTAAGACAAAGAGGGATGTTTAAAGTTGCAATCTGTCAGTAACATATACTGTCATCAATTAACTTAACTAAGATACAATGTAATATTCAACAATTAAAGGATATATATGTATGGTAAACGGTAATACACTGGAGGATAAAAATAAACATTAGACAACAACAATTCCCACCTTCATGTTTAGAGAGTACTTCGGAGACGGCCTCGGGTAGATTAGAACGACTTGGTGAAGCATCTGATAAAACATGTGCAAAGTTAGTATGGTGAAAGACCAATTTAAAGTAATGTTTTCATGATAAATTAAAGTTCTTTTGTGAAATTACAAAAACTGTATCATTTAACTGTATGAAAAAGTAAATTAAAAAATATTGTCCCAGATAACATGTATGTGAGCATGATGAAAGCTATCTGTGTAAATATGAATATCTAGATCAAAATTAGAAACATATAAGCTTTCTACAAACTAGTTAAAAAGTTATAAAGGATATTTTAAAGCAAAAAAGCCATGATGTATCGCCCACCAGAATTTATAAGGAAATTTTCTGTCTATACCTATACTAATATACTTATAATAATAATTTTATGTTATAATATAAGCATTATAATGCTTTCTTTAATAGCGATTCTGTCTGAGTCATGATAAGTCATCTTAATATTATATAAAACTATATACATGTATCTAAATTATATAAATACATATAATCTTTAGGTTTTCTGTTTAATTAATAGGTAAAGAAATTTCTTGTTACAAGACATCTAATAAATTCCATAAAGTAGTTCTACTAAGAAAAGCAAAAACAAAAGAATGTTACCACACATTTCCCACACTGTAGTTATAAATAAAACGTTGTACATAATTACCTTCTGATCTAGGCGTATTTCTAAATAGAAAGTTATAAATGAAATGTACGAAGCTATATTTGGTGTAATTACCTCTAGATCCTGGTGCAGAACCAACAGGTGATGCTGTACTGCTTTTACCAGCACCTCCTGTAGCACATTGTACAAACGATATACCACCAACCCCAGCATCCTCGCCACCTTCCTTATTCTCCTTGCTGGTATCCTCGGGTACAGGTTCTGGGTATTGAGGGTATGACTCCGCCTTCAATATATCCTCATCTACCGGATAATCTGACTCCAGAGCTCCTACAGTATGTACAACAAATTTACTACATTATGCGTGTTGTCATATACAAATTATAGAGATTTTTTAACATGGTGTTATAGTTTAATTTAACACTATAAACCCTCACTATTTTATGTAATGTTGATTTCCATTCGACCAATGGGAGTTATTCTTACTGTTAATTTAATTGTACCAAGTGACTAAAAGTTTTGTACTGATGTGTAGGTAACACTACTTTTTCACAGTAAATATTTGAAATGAAACAGTCTCCCAGTGAAGTATTTGTTCAGGTAATAAAATAAACAAAACCTAGGTTTGTGAGTAACAGTAAAAGTATCATCGCTCATAAAAATACTGTTATCCTTGGCTTACACCTCATACATACCTGGAACACTAGCTATACATAGTATAGGTGTTGTAGAAACTCTAAATGTCTCCAGTACTTCACCAGGATGATTGGCATCTATGACAGAAGCATTACTCTGTGAGTGAGAACTCGTACAAATCCACACAAAAGAAGACAACTGTTCTTTATCTGATTTCTTTATATTATTCTCATGATCCTTTATGAAATAAAAGAAGTGAAAACATGTTATTCTATAGTAAATTAATATGAACAAAACACATCTTTAACTCTGTTTCTTTCTAGCTTGACATCCCATTTTACCATCATGTCACCTTATAGGTGGCCTAAACCATTTACAATATATACTTGTTTTCTGCAAGTAACTATCAATTCTTTGTTGTTACACAAACCATACAGAGAGGTTATTGCCTTCCAATAAGGAGATCATATGTTTTAATTGTAATTTATCACCTGAACTTGCAGAAATTGTTTAAAGGAATTGCTCATGTTTGGAACTGTTCATTATCAAATTTAGGAATACCAATATGAAAATTTAAAGTTTGTCAGACAACAGCATAGAACCTTGTCAGGTTGCACTGACATGCAGGATGGCCTAGCTCAATACTGATTGCAAAACTAATCGCATAAGGTTCCAGCAGGGTAAAAGTGAAAGTCAATAAATCAACAACTCTACCAGATACATTTGGAATTCATGCTATTTAAGTGAAATTAGTATGATGAAGCATTATGATAGCATTGAATTTGTTCTTTTGTATCATAGTTTGGAGACCTTTGTATTGAAAACGAGTTAAATTGTATACCCATACATTCACAGTATGTTAACTGGACAGTTACTGCACTGTCTGTAGAAATAAAAATAGAGCATGCTCATTGATTAGCTCATTGTTTTCTTAGGTTTACTGATTGTGACGCCAGGAATGGGAGAACAATAGAAAAGTAATATTCAGATGTGCATACATTGGTTTTTTTCTGGGGTTTCATATTGTGTTGACAAGGAACATGTTTTTATTTCTGCTAATGATACAAAAGAGAAATAACATAGCAAAAATTGGCAATTTGATTTATACTCTGGGGCTGTGCCTCCTCGTACAAATCAGATAGCCATGAGTTTCAATGCTCTTTCTACTACTTTTAATGCTAATTTTTTCCTGGATAAAGTATGGAATAGTCTGATATTGGCAAAATTTGAACTTCTTCAACAATATTTACCTTGAGTTGTTGTTCTAGTTTATCCACCTCATTGTCACCCTCCTTTTTATCTTCTATCTCTGGAGGGTTAGAGTAGAAAACACTGGCCCCTACAATAGAGCCACCATCCTTTGTTTTACCACCAGTCAAGTTTACACCAGCTGCACACCATATCTGAAATATGTTTTACACAGATTTACATGTATTCACTGAATATTCAATTCTATATATACAAATAAGAACTTTTGATCCCAATATAAAGATACATGTATATAAACAGTCTTTTTTTTTAATTAAAATTCTCAAATAAAGTCTTTTTTAAAAAACAAATTCTCAGACAAATAAAACATCATCAATATTATAATACTACTTGTACTAAAATCTTTGGTTTCTTTGGCTGTTTTGTTTTTTTGTTTGTTTGTTGTGTTTTTTTTTTTTTTTTTTTTTTTTTTATAAATTTACCTTTGTTCTAATGTCATGTGCTTGTTATTGATCAGATTTATAATAAACAGCAGCTTACCTTTAACCCAAATTCACCTTCCAGTAATGGTCTACAATACACTGGCACTGGTACAGGCACTGCGCTTCGTGCGGGAGTCGAACTTGGAATCTGTGGCTGAAACTTGGCAGGTAGACTCCATCCATATGCTTGCATACGTCCATCATCCTTCTTGACATGAGCCCGAACCTGTTTATACTGCTCCTTTCTCTCCTTCTCTCTTTCCTTCTTTGCTTTTTCTGAGGTACTGAGGAAAACAATTATAAAATTGCGTCAAAAGTACAGAAATATACACAAAACACCTATCACAGTTCATCAAGCTCTTTAATTTAATAATATTATTTTTCCTGATAAAGATCATTGTTTTGATCGAAACTAGTAGATTTAAATAAATTATCTCAATCTATTTGGTGGTGACGTGCGGTTTCTCTTACTTCTTCTCTGCCTTTAGTTAATAAGAATATGTAAAATTCATTAAATGTCAGTTATTAACTCTCAATTAATCATATTAATCAACCTTTTTCTTCTTATTTTTCAATTCTGATTGTCAAAAGTAATGTACCATGTATGAATGTGATAAGATTCAGGGAAAGTCAGAAGTTGTTTATTAATTAAATTTTTGGGTTAACAGAACATAAGCAAAGAATGTGCATAATTATCTATTTAACAAAAATCAGAACTATTTTAGATTTAAGACTTAAGAATCTGTCACCCAGTTTCCCTCAACCATATTGCGACACACAGGATAGTTTTACCCCAAGGTTTACTATATGTTACTTACATATACTTGAGCAAAACACTAGCTATTTCATGACTGAAATGCATTATGTAATTATACTCTTAAATGATATAAATAGTAGACCTTCTAACCTTAAGAGATACTGTAACCCAACGAATATTCGTATAGGTACTATACGGAGCATGTGTCAGTTTATTAATCGTTTGACAAAAGTGGGAAAACTATCGAGCATCACAAAAGGCTATTGTTTTTTTTATCCTATAAAATAATTGTTTGAGTGAATTGTTAAGACAAAGGTGGTATAAACCTATCGAGCATCACAAAAGGGTATTGGGTGTACATAATTACAAACAGTGAAATACAAGATGGTTTTGTACTACATGTACATATATGGAGAAAATGTTTGCTGAATTGTGATCACAATTCACTTACCAATACAATATAAGGCTAGCGTTATATTAATCCCATTTAAGACACCAATAATGACCTCAATTATTGAAGATTAATAGTCGGCTTATGGATTTTACGGCCCCATCGGACTTTCCAATCCGCGAATTTTTTTTTTTCGGAAATCAAGAAAACGCGGAAATTAATATTCGCGAATATGTTCGACCTCGGCAAAACGCGAAAATTTGTATTCGCGAATACAAATTGGGTTACAGTACCTGGTTTTATCTGATATTTTATGACTTGTATACCTAAAATTATATACAAAGCTTAGGACTCATGTACTGAAAAATTGCAGGTATACAAATGCCTTAATTCAAACACCTATACATTAAAATATGCTCTCTTCTATAATAAATTTTATATAATAATTTGAATAATTACAATGAATATGAATTGGAAAAAGTTTCAGAGTTATCTTTGTTATGCAAAAAAAAATGACTGTCAGTGTTGAGCAGTGTTTACCTTCCTTAAGAATTAATAAGGATAAAAGTTACCATTTAAGCTTTTGTTACAAGAGGAGCTTTGTAAGACAGATTGTCTCAAAAGATGGAAAAGATAGTCTCTTGATTATATAAGGTATAAAATTTCCAATTTATTATTTTTGTTATCACCTGTTAGCATTGTTAAGAAAATTAATTTAAACGTGACCTTTCAAAAGAAATCAAGCTAGACAAAAAGTATGCCAAGAGACACGCAGAAATTTGATAAGTTCAAATAAGGAAATATATTAGGTATACTGCATGTAAGAGTTATGGGAATTGGTCAGGCAATATCAGGACTAACCCGGTAGAAAAGTTTAAACTTTCTTGCAAATATATCCAGTAAATTGATAAGGTATACTAGTAACCTTTACAAGCAATTATCTAAGCTTCAAATTCACAATGATGTATAATTAGGTAAAAAAAATATGTAAGAGTTATGGTTCATGGACAGATACCTAAAATAATGATCTCCAAGACAAGTTTCTAGTACATATTTTCAGTAATTAATTAAATAAAGTTACACATTAAACCTTAACCAAGTGTTATGTCAACACCGATTAGATGCAAATGTTAGAAGGACAGCCCTACTATTCTAAGAATAGTAAAGCTAGTTAGAAACCAAGGGTACCTCAACACCAATGAATGTTATATATGTACAGTATTATCAATTTGCTCTTTACATTAAAAGAGTGTAGACCTGAAAAGTAAGTTTTTATTCTCAAGTCTGTTTATCAAAAAAAAAAAGAAGAGAAAATACATACAAACAAGAAAACTGTTATTTTAAAAAACAGCATAAAGTGCTTTTATATTTACTTTTTTATTAAGTACCCTTGATTTGTGTATGTATTAAAGGTAGGTGTATTGTTAGTATAGGTATATAAGATGCATACACAGGAACTAAGGAAATAAAATATAATAACATACTCTGGTTGTGTAACAATTGGTTCACCGAGTGATTTGTTTCTGTAAAGTTTAAAATATAACACCTTTTCATATCATAATTTTTATCATCATTCATTTTACAACAGCCTGTTGTACTAGAAATAGCACTAAACTGGTGCCATGTAATTATCCAGACTGGTTGCCTTAAGTCCACAGACAGAAGCACTGGACTGGGACCATAGTTTCCTGATCCAATGACTGCAATCGATGGATATAAGGTAAATAATTTGACTGGTTCCAATTAAATATTCAGAAAGCACAGGTATTATAGGATTTCTCTAATGAAATCTATAAAATACTGGAACCATACAGTACTTGACTGGTATTCTAAAAACTATAAAAAAAATTCTCTATTATAACAGACTGGTACCACCTTACTTTCCTGAATTCTTCATTTCTTCCATACAATTTCAATTTCATTAAATCCCTTTTTCATTCAGGTGACATTTCAAATTTTTTAAAATGTCATTTTTCAAAATCTTAATTTTACATCTCACCTGTTATTGTCAAAAACAATTGTAATTGGGTAAAAATAACAACATTCAAAAATAACAAAGTGTTCAAACATATATATCTAACTCTTGCTACATTAAAACTGAATAACATGCCTGACAAATATTATATAGGGGGCTGCCAAAATTATATGAATTTCAATATGCAAAAAGTCAGACAAATATCTTGTTGAGTAAAAAATCAAATGATTTCATGCAAGGACAAGTTTTTATAAGTCAAAAACAAAAAAGTATTGTTTGTCCATCCTTTTATTTAAATAACAGTACATGAACCAGCAAATTTACATCAAATGTTTTCATCAATGATTAATATACAATGTATATTTTCTATGTACAAAAGAGGAAATTTATAAAACCATGGGACTAAAATTCTGCCACCAGGTCAAATTTAGAATAAGCAGTCCTTGTAATGGATTGAAGTGGTCTGGTAAAACTAAATAGCAAGCAGACACTATGCCAATATTTAGTTCCTATCCTACAATTATATATGGTCTGACAGCCCCTCAATTTACCAACTTTCATCTCCACTACTCTGAGAACTAAATGAAAAATTCAATATACTTTCAACAACAAAAATAAAACACAACACCATGCACAACATCAAAACACAGTGACCAATTATCAAAACTTCTTGTTCTTAATGCATTGTTTATATATAATAACAGATTATCAAAATTACACAAGAGATTCAGAATTTCAAAAGATATTTGAGAAGCCAAACTATAACTATGCTTGTTAAATTCCATTAATTACTCATCACACAATACAATTTATATGATTCAAAGACTAGTATTTATCTAGATTTCTCATGAAACAAAAAGTAATGACTATGGTCAATATATTTGTTACCCAATCATTGTATACTTACAGATCATCTTGAAGGAAGTCATAAGCTTTGTTCTTATCACCAAGGTTATATTTTCCTCTATTTTTCTGGTTTGGATCACCTACAGGTTGTACATTGGTTGTTGGGGCATTGTACTTAATCATGGCAACAGGAAGAGGTTTTTTCTTTGGCTTATCTGGAGAACTGCTGAACAGGTTACTGAAGCTGAAGAAAATATATAGAACATTAATTTTGTTAACAGGTCATTGCTATGACAACCAGTCCTTGTTAGGACAACCAGGGTCATTGCTATGACAACCAGAGTCATTGTTAGGACAACCAGGGTCATTGCTATGACAACCAGAGTCATTGTTAGGACAACCAGGGTCATCGCTATGACAACCAGAGTCATTGTTAGGACAACCAGGGTCATTGCTATGACAACCAGTCATTGTTATGACAACCAGGGTCATTGCTATGACAACCAGAGTCATTGTTAGGACAACCAGGGTCATTGCTATGACAACCGAGTCATTGTTAGGACAACTAGGGTCATTGCTATGACAACCAGAGTCATTGTTAGGACAACCAGGGTCATTGCTATGACAACCAGAGTCATTGTTAGGACAACCAGGGTCATTGCTATGACAACCAGAGTCATTGTTATGACAACCAGGGTCATTGCTATGACAACCAGAGTCATTGTTATGACAACCAGGGTCATTGCTATGACAACCAGAGTCATTCTTATGACAACCAGAGTCATTGCTATGACAACCAGAGTCATTGTTATGACAACCAGGGTCATTGCTATGACGACCAGAAGGGAATCATATTTCTGTAGACACATCTTTCATCTAAATACTCCAAGTTATCATTAGTTATACAGATTGTTAACAGGTTATATACGGTCCCAGTATACTTGATTGTAGGCATATATAACCCAAGCCATTTGGTGAGAGTTGAATGGCAAACAACCATTAAAAATACACTGACGGAATTATATAACCTGCATAAAGTCTTGACACAAATTTAGCCTATTTACATGCTGTGAGCCAATATAGAATAGAAAGCTTAGACTATACTGTACTGTGTAAGTGCTTTATTTCAATGTCAAAACACAAATTGCTACTAGTACATTATAATATTATACAAAAACACAAACAAAATAACTTCACATCAAACAATTGTTTTAAGAAAGACATCTCAACTGTTTAATCATATTCAACACTATTTCTATTTTAGGAAAAACAGACAGGTAATACAAACCTTTTCTTATATAAATGTCAATCTTACATTACTTAAACCAAACATAATGAAATTAAAAATAAACCATATAATAATATCAATAAATAAAGACGGTCAGAATGCATAAAGATGAAGCCACAACAAACTGTTTCATTCCTGACCTTATCATTCAAAGTTATTGACAAACACTTTTTTCTTCTAAACATCATTTTGTATCTTGAGCCAGTTAAAAAAAATACAATGTTAACTTCAACAAAGAATACTAAACAATGTTGAACTTATATAAATACCATGATTTTTTTATCATAAAAGATATGCCAGTAACCAGTCTCAACCCTGTACTTTCACCCAATCAGCAATCACCTACTATCTAATAGCATGCCTAATATGTTAAGTATAGGAATATAGCTTTCCAATAGTAAAATCCATATTCAAATGTTTTTTAGTTAAAACTAATCCAATAACCAAATACTGGCAGAATTTCTCAGTTTATATAATATTATATATGTGTCAAATCAAAATTCCATTCTCAAAACAGTAATTAAACTGTTGATTAGGAAATTAAAGGCCTTTTAAGAAAATCTAGGTATTGAACAACCTAAATGAAGATATGAAATTTGAAAAGTTTCTAGCTGGACGAGTTTCTTTGTTTTAAGGAAGCAACTACAGTCATGTTTCTTTGTGAAATGGCTTAGAAAAATATAAACTGTACCACAGCAGTAACAATAGGAGACTGTCAGAGAACATGTGATGTTTAGTGACAAATTTCCGCACTTTTTAAGATTTGGTTTAAGAGCTACACAACTAACAGTTATAAATAAAGAGTTAAAGAGAGATTGCCAAACAAACAACAATTGTAGAACAATAGCTTCTCACGTGTAACAGAACATAACAAACGTAAATAAACAGTATACACTACCAAATGTGCATTTAGCAAAAACTTTTCAACAAAATCATACATGAATATTTTGCTTACATATTAACCTTTTTTCAAAGATTTAAGTTAAACTATTAAATGCTTCATTTTATATTTGTAGTATTTATGTCCAATTCTCTTTCTATCCTGCTTTTTATATTGCCTAAAACAACATTTCCATATATTTACCATAATAATGACAATTTTCCACTTTTCTTATTTTTCATATATTTAACATTATAAGCTAATGATATCTTTCGAAAGCAAGTAGGATAGAGTAAACTGTTTTATATAATAAGTGATTCTGTAATATCCAAATAATATTAAAATTATACATTATTACATTATAATTTAGCATTAAACCTATAAATGTAAAGACCGCCAGCCAATCGGTATAAATACATAAATACACATCAAGCATGCATGTTAGGGTTGACTACATCTAGAAAACACCTTTACAAGATCATCGTATTACAAGAAAGTATATACTATCTTATACTAATTTCTGATTCCGTATCAATACTTTTGTTAGAATTTCCAAAAAAAAAAATTGAAATAATATTACTTATAACTTCAAAATCAAATGTATTTTAGACAAATGTCTAACTTTAAGAAGAAATTTTGAACATATTAACTATTTACAGAAACATTATGTAAATGAGAGCTGAAGGTTCCAATAAATCATCTTTAAAAATAATGACTTTGGCAAAGAATTGTTGTAAAATCAAATTGAATAAGAAAAAAAAAACAGATTTACAAACTCAAAAATTTGGACATAATACTGGTCTTGCAAAGGTTTCAAAAGCTACAGATTTTGTACACATGAATAACTAGGTAAAATCTGTATATATGTATGTATGTGTAAAAGTATAAAAACAAAAAAATATAATAAATAATGTAATGTGAAGGTCAAAATGAGAAAACATACCTGGCCAAGGAGCTGTAACATGCAACAAAAGAAAACAAAAATAACATGGGTGAATAAATGTAACACAAGGATTTAACAGACAGGACAGACCTGTAAGACAAGGATTTCCAGTAAAAGGTAAGACCTCTATGATTGGGAAAGTTCCCATTGTCATAGACATGCCCTCTACATTCATTTAAAGTCAATGTTTCATCCAGTTCATGCTTAGGAAACATGCAGAATTGATGCAAAACATGAAATATTTAAATAGTTAACCGTTACTATTACAAAAACATATTAGTAGAATTTATTTTGAAGCTGAAATACATTAATTATTAAGGTAACAGGCCTTTTTAATATAATTGTACTTTCTCAAAGTATTGTGAAATTGTGTTTACCTGACATGTGTGTCCTTTAAAAATTAACTTTTTATAATAATCTAGGTATATTGTATCAATTCAAACCTCAAGACTATATGTTTAAATGTGTTTTATTTTATTATAGTGATTAATTCAATATATCTAAAGATGTAACTCAGCTATAACAGAATTATTTGTTGGCAATATTCCTACTAGATTCTAGATCAAGATTCACTCATTCACCTTTTACAAAGGACTGGCCAGGAGCCACATTTTTCTTCTTTGACCCAGACCTGGTAATTTCAAGAGCTTCATTTTTCACCTTGAACCTAGACTAGTCACATCTAAAAGCAAATATGACTTGTCTTGCCTTATCAAGTTGTACAATTTTTCTAAGCTGTGGTTCTAACACACAAATCTGGACAGACTTGTACACCATGTATTTTCTGTAGTAAAGTTGGCTGAACAAAGATTACATCACATACAGATACATTTATATGTTTCAGAATGAGTCGAGTAATTTCAAAGCGATGAGTTACAGTTAGAGAGAATAGTCCTTACATTGGACATGCTCATCCAATGGTACTCACATATTTGTTATCATTGGTATAAAGTAGAGTAACCATTGATAGATAAATCTGAACAATGAAGCTCGTGATGTTATCACAAGACTGTCCCTGCTGAAATAAACACCATCATACTACATTAGTCTTCCCCTTTAAATCTTCTCCAGCCATTATATTCATATTCACTGAACATTACTGTAAGCTATGTACAATTTGAAACACTTCTGTTCTTCTATTACTTGAGTTATAAAGATAGTTCATTTCAGGCACAATTCTATATATACATTTCATATCTACGAAGTTCTCATTAAATTTTGAGCCTCTGTTGATCACTTTATGTAGTAGTTCATAATTAATTTTATAAATTTGCTTTCCAATTGATTCTGTAAAAATAATCTTTTTTTAATGAAATGGCAATTTAATGATTTTTGTTTGCTATTGCTCAAAGTAAATAATAGCACCCAACAGAAGAAAGTACTGTCAAGGTGCATGGATGGTGCAGTAAGCTTAGATTAGCTCTATCATGATGGCGATGACATGTCACGATCATTATAAGTTAGTATTTAGGAAGCTGACTGAAACTAGAACTGCCATGGCATGAATACCCCCTAAATGGCGCTTTGTCAGAATCACCAGTGGTCATTTAGAGCTTAAGGACAACCTCCCAGCCAAATCTGAGGGTAGTAAGCCGGTCCATTGCTTAGTTATGCATTCACCATGTTTTTAGTGGCAAAGATCAAAGTGACCTTTACCTTTGACCTACTGACCTCAAAACTGAAACTGCCACTGCATGACTTGAATACCCACCCCCATTCATGCTTTGCCTGGAGGTGTTTTATGATAAATAAATGAGAACATAATTATATATTTCAAATGTGAAAATCAGTGCACTGTGGACAGGCATTCTTAAGCATTTGAGCAGACAAGCTTATTGCAGTAAAAGCCCCTGTGACCTTGACCTTTGACAAAGTCACCTAAAAATCAATAAGGGACATCTACTAGTCATAACCAACCTCAACACCAAATATGAAGACTGTTGACCAAAGTATTCTTAGGCAATTGAGTGGACAAGCTTTTTAAAAGGCCCCTGTGACCTTGCCTTTGACCCAGTGAATTCAAAATCAATAGGGGTCACCTAATGGTCATGATCAACCTGCCATATATGAAAACTGTGGGTCCTAGGATTCTTATGTCATCGGGCTGACAAGCTTTTTGAAGTCAAGGCCCCT